TGGACTTTTGTGATTCCCTTTACAACCTGCTCCCTCCCAGTGTGCGTCAGGATAAGACGGTGCTCTTCTGCCTCTCACCATCTGCCTTCACAATATGGCTGTTTGTTTTGCAGATCCCCTTTCTCTAAATCAAAAGCCCTTTAGGTGGAGGTGGAAGGCGCTGAAGCTGGCGGACTTCCCAGACCAATTCACCAAAGTTGTTTATGCAAATGCCTCTTCTTCATTATGGATATGAAACGCGACGATGATCAGACAGGGGCATTTCTGTCTTGAAGAACTGCAGAGACTTTCTGGGCACCAGGCCGGAAACAGAGCCAAGACTTGTGATATTTTTCTTGTTAAATCGTTATTACTTCCACCAGGGTGTAACGCAATCACCAGGGTGGGTCTGTCTGCCTGTTTGTTAGTAAGCCACACAACTGAAAAAGGTTTTGTGACATGGTCAGGGAAGATTAAGTCAAAAGTAATAAATAATAGGTAGTTACCAATGTTTTGTTCACACGTTTTGTCTAATTTTGGAAACTTGTTTTGTCCACACGAAGTCAAGCTCAGGTCTAAACGCAAGAATACTTTATCAATCCAGTGTATCGTCCATACGAGGCCGGCGTTTTGGGGGGGTGTAAACGAACATTTTTGAAAGTAGGTCCCAGAGTCCGTCCATACTAATGTAGTACCAGCTCGCCCACTCGCCATGTTGTCTGTTTACAAAATTCTGCGCATGCCCAGTTCCCGTCACGGAAGTTTGGGCTTGATCCCGTCATTGCGTCACAGCGCCACCAACAGGTCTAGCATAGTTTCACAGCGTTTTCAGGCGTATTGACTACATTCATATGGACGCACACATTTAATGAGCTAACTCCGTGTTTAAAGAAAAAGTTTCTGAAATTATAAGCGTTTTGTCTTCGTGTGGATATAGCCTTAATCTTTCAGTGGGGATTTCAGGAAAAGTGGGGTTAAGTGTCTTGCCCAAGGACACAATGACAGCAGTCATCAGTGGGAGTCGTGAAGTACAGTAGGTCTAATGGTGGGCTCAAAAACCCACGACCTTCAGGCTCTAAGGCTGATGCTATACCAACGGAGCTACTGTCGCTCGGGTAACAAAAGATGTGGTAGACCCTTTAACACAACACCAGTTATCGTTTCAGACATTTTTGCAACATGAACAGTATGTAGAGAAATATTGGTAGAAGACCCGGCTCTCTGTAAAAAAATGCTTCCCACAGTAAGTAAGTCTTTTTTCTATTTTAATACCACATTCTTACAGACCAAGGTCTCCCAAAGCGCTTTACAATGTTCAGAGTCCAGATATTGTTTCATTCTCTCTCTCACCTCCCTCCTTACCCTGGGAATAAATGCAATGTGTAGCTTGATTTTGGGGCAGATCTTCTCTTCTCAACAACTTGGAATCACATTTCACGCAATAATGTATGTATTTTATGAATCACACAGAGATTTGTTTGTCTCAGATTATCATGAATTTTGCCACGACAACTGCCTTTCACATCTTCCTAACCACCCCATAGACGTTCTTCACATTTGGAGCTCTTATATTTTAACCCGTGGACCCACCACCTGCAGGAGGATCAGAGAGGAACTGGTCCTATGAGCCTCCGACCCAGAAACGGATTAATAAAGGGGAAGACAATGACATGACATAACATATTTTAACTGAAATTCCAAAGAACTTGCTGCTAATTGACGACATAATCAGATGCGAGTCACTACGGATGTTCGGCCGACACCAGTTTATTCAATTCAATTTAATATATTCTTGCATAGCCCCAAATCATCAACTTATCTGATCCGTTTTGGTGAATACAGATCAGAGAAGTAGTGATTTGAGGCTAACACAAGAAAATGCTCTGATAGAAACAGATTTTGAAAAAACATCCAGTCTCTAGTGCTGCCTGCATCATGTCAAAACATAGAGATGGTTCCAGAATGTTAGAGGTGTGATCCCATCAGTGCCAGGAGATGGGCATGTGCTGAATGGCTTCCTTAAGTTCAATCAGTGTGACAGGGCAATTGAGTTTAATTACATTGTCAAACTTATATCTTGGGCAGATGAGGAGTTTAATTGTTTTCTGTGTTGCCAGGTGTTGAAACTGTTCCTCACCTGGCAAATAACAGTCATACAGTGAAGCTGGAGGTGGCCTCAAGAGCCTCTTCAAACTTGTCTCGGCTGTGCACAGAGTCGCGCTGCCAGATTTTAAACTGTAAGATGCTCTTGCTAAAAAGAGAAGACAAATTATCATGCAATTATTATGCACAATGTGACCTTTTTAAAAACATACAAAAGAAATCTCCCACTTTTTAAGGGTGTTTTATTTGTTCATACTTAGCCTGAACTCACACACGTTTAAAATGTCTTACTTTGAGCGAGTTATTCACTATACTTCTTCTAGGATAGATTACTGTAACTCGCTGTATGTGGCCTGGACCTCAGCTCACTAAAGCGCCTTCAGGTACAGGTACAGAATGCTGCTGCTCACTTGCTCACAGGGACGCTTAAGAGAGAGCACATCACCCCTGTGCTGGCCTCACTTCACTGGCTCCCTGTTACGTTCGGGGTTCATTTTATGATACAGATGCTTGTTTTTAAAGGTTTGAATGGTTCAGCCCCTGTATATCTGAGAGAGCTGTTATCTCTGCATGCTCCTGTCGGATCAGTGAGGTCCGAAAACCAGCCCTTGTTGAACGTGCCCAGGTCTTGTCTAAAAACTCGAGAAGACTATCTGTTGCTGCTTCCAAAATAATGTATGTATATCAAAAATTAAATAAATCACACAAAGACACTTGTTTGTCTCAGATTATCCTGAATTACTTATGTTCCTTAGAGCAGCTCCTTCATTGGAGGTTTTTAAATCTAGTCTTGAGAAGCATTTTTACCCCTTGGCTTTTATCACCAACTGAGTTTTACTTTTTACACATATGTATATGTTTATGCTGTTTGCTTTTTTTTTTTTTTATCTTTCGTGTCTTTGAAGCACTCAGCTGGTGTTGTTGTAAATGTGCTATACACATAAAGCTGACATTGACTTGTTTATCTTGCAGTTTTACCTGCAGTTATGTACAAATGGTGGGTCTCATGACAGCCAAATGAACAAACAGTAAATATTTGAGTTGTTATAACAACCTAAAGACAGAGCCCAAGGGGGAACACAGGGGCGGGCTAATGGGTGGACCTGGATTATTAATATATGCCGTGTCGGTTTGGATTAGACATTTTAAATATATTTAGTGAAAAAAAAATGAAAACTTTCTTTAAATCATGTTCATTTTAGAATCACACGAGGTGGTAAGTGGCAGGTAAGGATTCTTATGGGTCACAAAAGGGCGGTTAAAAGATGAGATCTCGCCACATCCATGCTGCCTGGTTTCCATACGAATATTAATAATATTCCTAGTATTATTACTGGGTATAGGAGTTGTTCAGTCAGGTTCATAATCTCGTAAACTGAAAAGGGAAGTGAATCATTTCCCCAAATCTAGCCAGCAGCAAAAACATAAAACCAAGTTCACCTTGGAGAGACCCACGAGGGAAAATGCAGTTAGAAGTTTAAGATTAAGCATGTTTGGCGCCCTAGGCCCGGGAGAGATGCTGTTGAGCGCGGCGCTTGCTCGCGCGCATAATCCCCCCTGAGGCCTAGGCACCGGTGACGGCAGAGGCAGTAGGCAAGCACGCTTCGATGAGAAAAGGAGGAGGTGGGGCGGCGGAGGCTTGCAGACTTCAGAAGGCCGGGAAGTGGGCGTCTCCGGCTTTTAACTTGCTGTCCTGGTGGTTATTGGTTGATTAGATGTGGGCGTTGCTGGTATGATGAGTCGAGGATGAGCAGGCTTGTAGATCTGGGCAAGCAGCAGCCGGGTCTACCACAGTGAACTTTCGCGAAAGCTCCATAATCGTTCTTCCAGAGTTAAAGCAACTGCTTAATTCGTAAAGGTTCTAATCTAACTATGCATAACCACATAGTTCAAAAGAGGAGAAAGGGCCACTTCAAATCTTCTTTTCCTTTTGAACCAACCAGTGTGTGTCTGTATGTGATCTGTGTCTCCATACGTGTTATTTATCGTTTGTTGGATGATGCGTGACTAAATGTTTTCTTTCCTTGTCCTTGTAAATATTGTAAAAAGCTCACATTATTTTAACAGTATTCTATTCTGTGTAGCAAACATGTTTACAGAAATGCTCATTATCATGCACTGTCCCTGTAATACATACATTCCATCTTTGTTGTTATGGCAGGCAAAGGAAATGATGTAAGGAGATGGGACCTTATAAATTGAGACTGGATTGTTTACACCAGAAAAGAGGAGAGATACCAATCACAGGGGGATGGGAAGGCTAAAGTTAGCTTCATCCATGTTGACAAGCGATCTTTACAATCCTAGTAATCACCTTTTCTACACTGTACAGCAGCCTGGGTCCATTTGAGCCTAGAAAGGTGAGTTCTTAAGCATATCTGTTACCCATTCTAACCCTAACCCAGCTTGCTTACCATGTCCACTCCTTCTACAGTCTATGGTTATATGCCCATTGTTCAGAAATGCTTAGTGCCATTTTTAAAGTACCAGTCAAGTATTTGTTGCAACAGATTTTTATTTTGCAGAAATATTGGATAATGAGGAGAGCAATTTAGGACCCACAGAAGAACAGAAAATCATGATCACCCATATATTGTGATATACCTCCACCATACTAAAACAGCCTGCATGCGATTTATGTATTTGCCAATTTGTTACGTCCAAGATGTGTTTGACGTTGTAAGTGCAATAAATAGTTTAGTTAGGATAGATTTTAGCATTTTAAAATGATATTAAAAGTTTTTCTGTAAAGAATTGGCTAATGCGACTGGAACTTTTCTGAAAAAAAAAAACAGTTTAACAATTATCTAGTTGTTGAATGATTTTTGGTGTTTTATGAAATACTAATTTGGTACAGGCTGTTGAGCAAATAATGGTCCCTATGAATTGATTGAATAAGAAGCTGTGTTATTTTAGATCTAAGCACTAATGCTCAGTTGCCTGTCTTCGATAAAGACGTTCCCAATGCAGAGGAAGTTCAGGTCTCTCCAGTTGACCACGTTCCCCGGAGTAAACCACGCCTCCTTCATGTAGTTGTGGATCTCACAGGGCGAGAGAACATAGCCCCACATGTGCACGTCAGTCATCATCCCAACAAAAGACTGGTTGATGTCAAATGCTCCACCGTGAGAGTCCTGCTCCTGGACACAAGGAATTAAGGAACAATTGTTAATGGTACAGTTTGAGCCCCTACTGGAAGAATTTGGTCATTAGAATTAAAACCCATGTGTTGCCAGTGTTCCTGCATGTAAATCAGTGTTTCTCAACTGTCTATCAAAGGCTGACACGCTTTATTATAAGTTTGATTTATTTGAGTGGATATGGCTAAAAGTGGAAATTATGATGTCAAATGGTTCAAAGCTTGAAAAGGGTGATTTTTGATAATGAAGACTGCATGTCTTCACTAAGACCTTACCTGTCCCAAAGTGATGATGGGCTGTCCTTTGAGTGTTTCTTTGGAGAGGTATTTCCTGGTCAGAGGCTGCCCATTGAGCCACACCTGTGCCACACCAGAGTGTGAGTCCCAGGTTGTGCAAATGGAGTGCCACTTGTTTGGAGAATAGTCGAGTTCATCAAAGGACACTGTTGAATGGGACCAAAGGCTCAACTTTGTGGTGGATTCCAGAAAGATTACGAATGTGTTGGCGAGAGATGGTAAAGCCAGTGAGAACAGGCCATGGTTTCTTTTGAGGTCAGTGAAGGATCTGTGAGTGGAAAACAACAATTTACTCAAATAGATACAATTAACCAATAAATACCAACTTTCGGAGTGTTTATTTATTTTCCTAACTTTAACACACTTAACAGTTGTGCAAACTGTCTTAGCGCATAATGAGGGTCTTAGTTTGTTGAAATAAATAGAACAATATAATCTTTTAACAGCAGAAATTAAATCCTGTGGTCCCCAAACTGGAGTCTCTCTGGTCCCTGTGCCTAGAAATTCTGTCCATAAAATAACAGTGAACAGAACCGGTGACAAAGGGCAGCCACAGGGGTGTTTCCCCTTTTCTGACTTACTGCTGATCTACTCTGACTCTGACTACCCTGGGACTTGATTGAAGCTCTCCGGGAGGTTCGTCTAACAGGAGGCTCAGCGAGACATTCCCAGCAAACCCTCAGAATTTGCCTGGGCCTGCCAGGTCTGACTTCATTCCTCCTCCACTAGCAGATCCAATTTACAACCAAGTGATTTGTTTTCTGTCCAAACACTCATGCTGTGTCCGTGGACTGGGTTGTCAAGTTCTCCAGCTTTGACCACCACCCAGTCCGAACTCAACCGCCTTGAATCTCTCGTAAGGAGCCCACAAGACAGAGAACCCATGTCATCCTTTCGGGCTGAGCCCAAGCCAGGCCTCATGGGCCAATGCCCGGCCACCAGCTGCTAACACATAAGCCCCAACCCCAGAGTACGGTGGAAGTCCATGGAGGAGGCCCGGTGTGAGCGCAACCACTTGTGCTTGAACACCAGTAAGACCGAGGAGATGGTGATCAACTTCAAGAAAAAAACACTTTCCCATATGCTGCTGAACATCCAGGGGGAGGACATTGAGCTGGTGGACAGCTTCAAGTACCTGGGTGTTCACATTAACAATAAACTGGACTGGTCCATAACACCAAAGACCTGTACAAGAAGGGCCAAAGTCGCCTCTTCCTTCTGAGGAGGCTGCACTCCTTTGGAGTGAGCAGGCCTCTGCTCAGGACTTTTTATGACTCTGTGGTAGCCTCAGCCATTTACTGCGCTGCCGTGTGCTGGGCCCCGGGCAGCACAGAGCGGGGCAGGAGTGGACTGAACAAGCTGGTCAGGAGGGCCAGCTCTGCTCTGGGCTGCCCCCTGGACTCTGTGGAGGAGGTAAGGGACAAGGTGCTAGTCAAAGTCACCTCCATCATGGACAACACCTACCACCCACTGCACAGGACTGTAGAGGAGCTGAGGAGCTCCTTCAGTGGAAGACTGAGACACCCTCAGTGCAAGTGTTAGCGCTACCGCAGGGCCATATTCCCCACCGCTGTCAGACTGTACAACAAGTCACTTTAGGTCACAAATGCAATGGGACTAAAAAACCTGCACTACTATTGCCACTGTTTCTTTAATTGTCCATTTTTATTGTACATAATATATCCTGCACAAACTATATTTTTAACGTTTAACATGTTTGAACACTTCTGTCTCATGTTTGCCCAATCTGAGTGATTCTATCCATGCTAAATGTGACACGTAAATTTCTCCAGCGTGAGATCAAAAATGTCTATCTTATCTTAAAGCTTTAGCATTTTATCAATAAAGTTGGTTGGATATTGTACTTTATCTGCAGGACTTACCGGTGGCAGATGGTTAAAGCAGTTAAGCTTTGTTCTTTAGGCGTTATCTTGACGTGATCCACTCGTATCTCCGGAGAGAAGTTAGTGCGCAGAGAAGTTAGGAGCGCTACGTCCGCGCACTAACTTCTCTCCGGAGACTTCTCTCTCGCTGCTACTGTGTGTACTACAAGTCACGCTGCTTCTATTGACGGAAGTGAGCGAGAGAGAAGTCTCCGGAGAGAAGTTAGTGCGCGGACGTAGCGCCCCTCAGATTACTACGCCTCACAATATAGTACCCGTTTTATCCGCTGAGAAAATCGACTGTTACATTTCTGTGTTACTATACTTTGCAGTGTAACACGTCACGTAACTATATACATTTAATAGGGAACACTTGGAAGAGTTTGGTAGCTTCTAGCGGGAGCTACCTTTTTGTGCTACAAAATATACAGAGGAGGCTGCGGTTGTGCTCCCGTTTTTGCTCCGTTTTCATGACAGAGCGCACGGACTAAGACCAGACAGGTACGTATTAACTAGTCTAAGGTAAGGTAAGAACATATGTCAGTATGTAAAAACGGTGAACTATTCCTTTAAGCCACTTGACAGTAACAAAGATAAAAAACCTGTGTCAGGGGCAGTTTGATCCCGACTTGTTCATAAAGGAAAGGGCAGCGGGAACAAAGCTTTTCTTAAAACGGTTTGTGTGGCTCATTGGCATCAAAAACCGACGCCCAGACGGAAGCAATCGAAACTCTGAGTGCAAAGGATGCTCTGGGTCTTTTGCGATGCTTCGTGCCATCCTCTCTAACTGTCTATCATGCAGAAAGTCCAAACTGGTCTGAGGCTGGCCAATGACTTTACTTGACCACTTGACGAGCTGATTCAAGGCGTTTTTGTTTCTAACAGAAGAGCTCCCGTACCAGGCGACCAGGCAAAAAGCTAGGGTCGCTTCGATGAATGCCCGATAAAACAGTGTCATCACAGTTTTATCTACATGAAAGAAGGACAGTTTCCGAAGACAATACAGTCGTTGGTGGCCCTTTTTACAAACAGCAGCACAGTTTTCATTAAAATTCAGTTTGCAATCAATAATTGTTCCAAGATACTTGTAGGACTCCACACACTCCACTTGTTGTCCCTTTATATATGTTACAACATGTGGGAGAGTGCTCTTCCTAAAGTCGATGATCATATCTTTTGTTTTTGCAACATTCAAGAGAAGATAAGACTCATCACACCATTTGACAAAATCCTCAACAACTGGGCCATGCTGACTTTCATTTTTGTGAAGTAGACTTACAATAACTGAGTCATCTGCATATTTTAAGATGATTCTGTTTTCATGATCACTCTGACACATGCTAGTGTACAATATAAACAACAGGGGTGAGAGAACACAACCTTGGGGTGAGCCTGTCGAAACAGTGCACTGATCAGAGAGTTCACCATTGACTCTCACTCTTTGACTTCTTTTAGTTAAAAAGGCAAGAACCCAGCCTACAATGTTTAAGTCAAGATTAAAATGTTCCATAAGTCGTTTGGCAAGCACATATGGTTTCATCGTATTAAAAGCTGACGTGAAGTCAATAAAAAGAAGGCGTGTACACCCCATGTTTTTCCTATCATAAAACCCTGAACCCATGAAGCATGGAGACAACATTATGTTGTGGAAGTGTTTTAAAGCAGGTGGGACTTATAAATGCACTGGTGGCACCACGAAACATCTTAAAACATCCACTGTGGAGTAGAAGCTTGGTCGTAGATGGGTGTTGCAAAAGAACCCCAAGCATACTTCTTCTTCTTTCTCGGCCTTAACCTCAATCCCATTGAGAATTTACAGTCGGAGCCGAAAAAGCGGGTACAAGCAGGAAGTCCCACTAACTTGACTTGGTTACACCAGTTCTATCTGGAGTGGGAAAAAAATTCAACCAAATAGCTTCTGTCGTTTTGATGTAATAAATAAAAGCTTTGTTGCCCAAATGCAAAACGTTATGGGAGCGCTCTAACCTAACACTGCTCATTGCATCAGCCCCAGTGTCAAATATGGTGGGGGGAGCATCATGCTATGGGACTGCTTTTCTTCAGCAGGGACTGGAAAGAATAGCCGGGCAGATGGATGGAGCAAAATACAGGAAAAGGAAGAACATTTTGCTTTGACTTCACAGTTGTCTGTTACTTGTGTGTGAACTTTCAGCATAAAAACTAAATTAAAATCTTTAGCTTATGGTTGTAAAAATGACAAAATGACAAACTGTGCTAAAGTTCAAGCTGTATTAATACTTTTGAAAGGCACAGTATATATTACATCTCATTATTTATTGTTATTTACATCATAATTGTAGCACAGGGCCAGTTTGTAGCACAGGGCCAGTTTGTCAGAACTCTGTATTATTTAAAATGAAATAAAAGCACCTTGCACGACACACTTTAAGTAATCGAAAAGTTTGGTGAGGCTTCAACTTAGCACAGTACCAAACATTTTTTGAGCATCTGTTAAAATGCATACAAGATATTAACTAACAGAGTCGATCAATTGCAAAAAATAAAATGTTGACAAAAAGAACACTCAGAACATGATGCTCAAAAGGAGTAGGAAGAAGATTGGAACTTACTACTCCACTTGACTGATCTCATACCGTAGGTATATTTACTTACGGTACGCATATATTTATATGATAATTTTACTTCAACACTGAGACTATTCCATAATTGAATCCCACAACTTGAAATACAGATTATCTTTCAGATGTGCGACAACAAATGTTGTTGTCCTCTTAAGTTGTAAACACCTTCCCTTACATTAGAAAAGGACTGTAATTGTTGAGGTAATTAGTTATTACTAGCTTTAAACCTAGTTTGTGCCGTTTTAAACTCCACAAGATTGTCCATTTTGAGGATCTTTGACTTGTTGAACTCTTCTTGTATACTAAATCATCAGTTAAACTTTTTTTTTTCAATAACTGTCTGTATTTATAATATATTTTATCGTTGTTTAAGTCCTTAAAATGAGTAAAACTTCTGCAGTTTGTGTGTCTGTCCTTCATGCTACTATAATATCACGACTCCTGCGTCTTTCACACACTAGTCCCTGCGGGAGCCTAATGAAAAGTGTTTCAATGTGTTCTGTCTTTAGGCGATTCCATAAAGCAACAGCTTAGATGAGCTAACACTGGCTAATGTAAGGGCCTGACAGCTCAACACAGCACTTACAGTCAGGGCCATAAATGGGACATAAACACATTTTTCATATTTTGACTGTATTATATTAAAGTAAAGACCTCAATCATACATGGTTCAAACCGGCTTCAAACTGTTTGTCTTGACTCTTGCTGTAGTCTTAGCCAGGACATCAAACGTGCCACAAATGCAATTTATTCATCTTCCGGTTGATTGTTGCTTTGTATTGTCCCCTGGTGAGTGAATGGAAGAGCACAACCATACTCCTGTTACTCCTCTCAGTAGAAGTACAACCCTCCTTTACAGTCCTTATTGTGTTCTCCATCATTTCCCAATTCACACCGATCCATCGCACGCTGGAGGAAATGCAGCTTTTTGAATCAGTTTCAGGGCGGTTGCAGATGAAAAATGTCCTCTGCTTGTTAACAGAGTGTGGCTTTCTCCCAGTGTTCACTCCATCAGTGTCTCTAGCACAAGTGGACAAGCAAAAATGGATCAAGAGAGCTCTTTATGAAGTGGGACCTGCAAGCACTGGGCCTTACACCTCTCTCCGTGTGTTCCTATGGCCCTTGGATGTGGTTTTTTCTCACTCTACTTTTCTACAAATTGTTGCCCATAACCAAAACAACTTATGGTTGGTTTGGTTATGGGCAACACTGTTTGGGTTTCTACATTGATGAAAAACTGCAATTTAGACCAATCCTCCTGGAAGAAAACCACTTTGGACTCCACTTTACTTACAAACTAACTGTTTTTGTTTGGTTTATTAAACATTACGTGCCTTTTATTCCAACAGAAAGAGTCTTATAGAAGTAGAAATTGTGGATTACAACAAGCTTCAGCTTTTCCAAAAATATGATGTTTTGGTACAAACCCTATGAAATACTATTTGACACTTTTGGCTACGAGCTGATTGGCTTTGTGAGGGTGGTCCTCTCATTTCCTATGAGAGACGACAGAAAAGGTGAGGGTCCAACCTCTGTCAAAGAGCTGGATTCCAGAGCCTGAACTGTGTGAGGAGGTGAAGCTCTGACTACCTCTAGTCTAATTTCTCAACCTGCTCCATAAGCTCAGGGGAACGTCAACCTCCCAGTGAGGCAACAAGTTTGTGCCATTGGCACCCTCCGACCACCACCAGTCATTCACACACTCACCAGACTCAATCTAGGCAGTGTAGGTGAAGTGTCTAGTCTGAGGACACAACGGCAAATTGGCACTTTCAGGGGCAGTTACAAACTTCTTCTGCTGGCTTCAGGAACTAGGAGGTCCTCAGATCCCCGAGGAGAATAGGCTGTGTGCTTTGTGTGAACTGCAGTGAAGTGCATTTTCTTTTATACTGTCCTTATTATAATTTAGGAATTTAGAAACTTGTTGTTTCATGAAATTTGCTTTCACAATTCTGATCTGTTCTG